GAACTGCCTGCCCCTCCTCCCTACCTCTCTGCGCCTCCTGGATGCGCTGCCCACAGCTCCATCCCACTCCCGGGGTCCCATTCACTGTCCTGACTGGGCAGTGCCTGCCCCAGCCCCAACCCCAACCCCCTTCCCACTTCTTCCCTCACCGTGGAGGCCTGTATCTGCCCGCCCCTCCACAGACTTATTGGCCAAATGCTGTTCTCCAAGTTGCCGAATTACATTCCTGTAAATCGGTTATCAGATCGGTATTGGCCGATATGGCAGGTTAATAATGAGCTATTTGTACTGGCCAAGAAAATCTTTATCAGTGCACCCCTAATTTAATTTTTTAGAAACATTTAGAATCAGGAATTATTTTCAGCAGTAGTTCTTTTCTTAACAATGTATATAAGTATATAAACTACTCATCTAGCCTTTTTGTGCAATGCTGTCATTGCTTTAAATTAATCTTCTCTACTATCTATATTCCTTCTTAAAAATATTCTATTACAGGGGTCAGCAGCGTTTTCAGGCAGTCTGCCAAAAACACCCACAACCTTGACTTATAAGATGTTGGCGTGCCAGAGGCAGACAGCGGGGGGGCTGTGAGGGGCCCAATCCTTGTTGTGGCAACCCCGGCCCCTTCTCTACCGTCTGCCCCGAGGTGCACGCGCCAAACAAAATCCTTTGCTTGCCACAGTCTGGCACCCGTGCTGGGGGTTGCCTACCCCTGTTCTATTAGAAAACTCTTCTTTAAAAAGTTATCCATTAATCTTGTTAAATTAAGGTGCCAGCAAAATTTAATTAATATGAAGTTCTTTTCTTTCACATGTCAGTGCAAACATTGATATTTATCTATTTTGATGTTTTGAAAATACCAGATATTCCTATAAATATTGAGGTGCCTGAACATCTGAGCCTCCATAGAGACCCTGTTTCACCTCCTTTCTGGGGATAAAAAGGAGATGATAACATCTCCTCTTGGGTTACAAATTTTGGTTTTATTTTTGTTTTACTAGTAGGGGCTAAGAGTAAAAGGGGAGATAGTCTTAATAGACAATGACTACTCTGAAATTTTTCTACAGTTTCCGGACAAAGGAAGATTCTATACACTGTTCATATATGATTAAGCAGCAACTTCTACATAGGTAATGAACAAAAGAGGAGTAAGACTTGCCACCTGATCAGCTTCTGCTTCAGAATGATAGCCATTGTGTCCATCCTGAATCTCCTGCATTGCACGAGCCAGCAGTAGGGCAAGAAAGGTAATAGGAAAAAAACATGCAGACAACAGGTGAAAGGACAGAATCATATTTTTTTAAAGAGACAGTAGATACTTTAACGTCAACCTTTCTTTTCAATATTTTCTATTCTGCATGAGCTACTTCACCTATAAAACGTTCAAAGTTATTAGGCCCAGCAACTTAAGCCATTTGGTAAAATACAAAGTGGAATACTCATCCACATTTTCATAAAATAATTAATGCAGGCATCCAAGAACACAAAGTATGTACTGTCTTTTAAAAACAAGCAATCTGACAGCAAGATAATGAAGAATATGCCACATGCTCAATAATAGAAGAGACTGAGTAGAGCTTGATATGGTAGCAGTAAGGGAAAATTCACGCAGTCTTTTCAGGACAAAATATATTTTCAATATCGAAGCATTCAGATAATTTAAAGAATTGTTGTACTGTACAGACCATACTGTAAGTATTTTATAGTTTGATACAATTTTCCTAGTTACTCCAATCCTGCTGTCAAAACCGTCTATTAGAAAATGTATCTAAATTACTCTTAATAGCATAATATTCAAATGGTTCACATCTCTGTTCATTCCCATTTTAGTATTTTATCGGGAAAACTCTTACTACATAAATTAAATCCTTTTAATAATTATAAGTTCTCTCTGCATTTTAGGTAGGAACAGAAAAAAACAGCAACACAAGTTATTAGCTACATCCAGTCAGTTGTTCTTCACTTTTCTTACAATGCTAACCGGAGTGAAATTACCATCTTCTGTCAGAGATGATTTATTTTTCCAGAACAGCACCAATTCAGGAACACAAAAATTTCTCATTTAACAGCCAGTACTCCTTGTAGAATCTAATGATAAAACTGAGTTTTCGCATTGTTTCTATGAAACTCTAAAACAAAAAAAAAATTAAAGGAATGTCTTACATATTTAGAGAATTTAGGTGCATGTGAAATCTACTGAACCTAAAACCTTGCACATGATGAAGGGTTCCCAACAGGTAGATCTTAGGGGAAAATATGGCAATTATTTATATTTAGGTCACAGAAACCAAATAAAGACTACTTCTAGAAGTGAAGTCCAAGAAGGTAGATGCTAAAACCTCATGAAAAAAAGAAAAACAGGAAGAAGGGCAGTGGAATTTTAAGCCAAGAATTAAAGGAAGCAAATAGAGGCACTGCACACCACTCATGGACCAGAAGCCTTTACAAATAAAGTTGACCAAGGAAAAATGGATTTTATTATCGTAACCCATTCCAACTACTTCAAGAATTGAAAATACTGACCTTTGTATACTACAGCTGTTATACACATCCAAGTGGGTTTTGGATATGGAAGCAACTGATTAGTATCTTACCATGCTACAAAGCTTAAATTATTCCCTATTATAAACTAAAAGCCTTGTTTGAATGAAACTGTTAGGAATATTTTGAGAGCAGTGTCATTCTATTAGCCATATCTTTTCTCACTCGATTAGCATTCCAAAGCAAGAGGGAAGAGAAAACCAGGCACACACTTTTGTTATCCTTAAAGAACACTGGATAAAACCTAGCCTCTAAAATCATCAAAAAGATGCAGGTCATTGCATTAATGTCTAATTTCAATCCTAACTTTCACTTCTGCTCTAGGGCTGAAGCAATTACGGTAAAACATGTACAAACGCAAGCATGAATTGAAATCTTATTTAAATAGGACAGACAAAGACTTACTGCTTTTTCATAAGCTAACACTGAAATTCTTTAGCATAGATAACACATTAAAGCTGCTAATACAGTACTCTGTAGTCCAAAGCATGTAAGCATCAGTTGTGAGCATCCATTTTGTCAAAATTAACGTAATAAAACTGAAGTTAGTACCGCATATTGGTAACATAACTTAAATATACTGCCCTCTCACACATTGGCTTTTATGGCTCATGAAAACACTGTAATGTATATAAAGCATTTCTATGGCAAACAAGCTGTTGCACTGCATAGCAAAATGGTCCAACTTATCCATAAAAAAACGTTAATGAAGAAAAGAAGAACACTTGACACACTGAGCTCTCAACACAGCACAGAAGACAGAGATAGGAGGCCATTTGCTGGTAGTCAAAGGTATTCTTACCCGTAGATCAGGCCTCCTGTATACCTGTTAGTTAAAATACAGAATGTTACTAACAAAAACCAGGCTTTTTATTTTAGTGTCTGAATGGGAGTCAAGCTCTTTTGAGAATCTGGTTCTGAGCAGCCTTTTATTCAATGACAACATGCTACACCGAAACACGGAACAGGTTAGCAATCTTTCTGGGCAGCATATAGTAAGCCTACAATAACAGATATGAAATCTAATGGACCTTTAGCTTTGAGTCAAATGTCTGCATGTGGGTACATCCAACCTTTCCGCCAACTTGCATTCAAAGTTTTCTAGCCAGCTAGTATCACCAGCACTTTCCACCCAAACACCCGCTTATCCAAGGAGGCCCTAAGGGGTTTACCCAATCAAGGGAGATACCACGAACTCAGAGTTTTGGAGCAACTCGAACTCTATGCAAGGCAAATAACTGCGAAGCTAGGAAGGAAAGCTGGTTCTCCACCCTCCAAACCTGACCTTTCCCTTTGCAGCAAAATGTGCTCCTTCACAACCTTTACATTTTTGCAGCATTCTGGTGCATCAGGGAGGCCTCTGGGATCCTCAGAGTTTTTACAATACCTACATGTACATTCAGGGACACAGGGAATGGCACAAGTTAACAGCAGTAAAACTACTCCTATGAACCGCAGAAACTGACAGAAAACCCAGCTGAAGGCCAAAAAATAAGAAACATTTGGAGGGTTTTTAAAAATTATCTACTCTTTTCAGCCTGGCCCATTCATGGAGTAGGCTGAGACCTTCTTTTCTAACTGAAATATCCGAATCGTTTTCAGAGGATAGCATTTTCAGCACTGCAAACCAAAGGTGCCTACGGCACAGATAAACACACTGACGTCTGCCTCAGACGTGGGAAGGTCGCAAATCTATAGTCACCTATAAAAATAAAACAGTGTTTGGACATCCCTTTACCTGTAAATTCAAGCAGAGCAATGAGACTAAGGATAGAATAACCTCTTAAAGGAGAATGAAATTTGAACCGGCCAGTTAACTCTTCAAAAATAATTTCTAGGTGCAGTCAAAGGGGATACCTTACTTTTAAAGGAACAGTCTACCTGCCAAATCATTACTTCACAACCAATACAATGCATTATGTAAATAATCTATTGTATGAAATTAATTTATTCTTTCCATTTGTTATAAGGTCAGTGCATCCAATTTCAAAATGAAAAATACTAATATAGATGCATACAAAAATGTGAAGGAGATGCTAGATATTGCTGGATAGTTTACCTGGATCACAGAAAAAAGCAAGTGTGTTGATTTTACCCTCAGCCAAAGCCAAAGCCAAAAAAAAAAAAAAAAAGGTTTAGGAACATTGTATGAATCAAGATTTGGCTGTTTTGCCAGCTTTGTGGGAAAGGCTGTACGCTTGCTCACTTTGCTTTTGATTGTAGTCAGTGCTACTAGAGTTTGTTACTTACACATGCTTCAAGCTGACTATATATTTTTAAAAAACCCTAGAAGTATTGCATGTGCTGTTCCAGTTGATTTTCTGGAAATATATAAAATCCAGTATGTTAAGTGACAGTCAAGAGGTAATAAAGTACAGCCAGTCTTCTGGTAAGAAGCGAAAGGGACCCTTTTCCAAAGCAGCACCAGGAGACACAATACAACACCATTCCCATCTTTTTAAAAAGCTACGTATTTGTAGTAAGAAAGGGTAAAAGATATCTTACAATTGGAAACTTTGCAGTGTTACTTGCAAACACAGTGGTTTAAATCATAGCAATGAAAATATGTTAAATACAATTCATAAACAAACTAGTCTTCCAAATACAGAAAGGTTTGACCTTCTTTTTCCTTTGATTTCTGAAAGACTAGGGAATGAACTAGAGTTAAATGCTACTAATTAGGCCACAAAAGATTTCTCTTTCCGGAAGTCAAGTCTAAGATCTGTCTGGGAAGAGAGAAAAGGAGAGAACACCAGACTATTTAGAATAAAAAGCTCCTTCTACTCTGGAGGAATGCATTATAACTGAAACAGTAAATTGAACACCAAGTTCCCAGACTTGGATCATGATAAAATGAAGTCCTTGATCTACAGGGCAAACACAACATAGACAGCTGTAATGCAAGGTTTCCCACAATGTTTTATCAAAGACATCAGCCTTGACCTGAAGTGAGAATTTGCAATTCAGCTGCCATACTCTAGAAGAGCTAGGCTTTTTCTGAGTACAAGCTGCTGACTGCGCCAATATAAGTAACAAATTCTGTGAGGTGAATTTTTAAATAGACTAGGATCAAATACATTTAGTGGATTCATCTTCAAGCTCAAGCTGAATCTGACCCGCAGTGACAGAAGTTAAAGGAATATACTATTTCTAGACAGCATCTAGCTCCTTTTAAACACAAAGAGCCTGGGAAAGTTAATTTAACTCCACTGTAAAGCAAACAAGATCCAATCTTTATCTGGCCATTTTGCATGCAGAACACAATTTTGTCTTTTAAATCCAAGGATTGAAGAGGAGGGTGTATGCAAAAGACCAAAGTTAAATAGAAATTCTAGAATATTAATAAGGTCAGAGATTACATTTTTATTACTAACAGGAGAGAGAGAGAAAACACAAAATGATCTGGTTGGCTGTATAGACTGGCTGCATATATAGAAAAAGGAAGTGAAGAGAGCATGAAAAATGATAGGGAAAAACCTCAGTGATTCCAAACAGGCTAACCACACTGCACAATCACTGCCTCAACAACTTTCTTGCTGTTGGGAGACAGGAAAGAAGTCTGTTTCGATTGTAAGAAACTCTACCATAGGTAACCCAACCCCCCCCTCCCCCCTCTGCAAAAAAACCCCCAAACAAACCAAAAAACCCCCAAATGAAACAGACATCAAAACCATGGAAGAACGGTATAACTGATAAACATTTTTGAAGGTGGTGCAGGCATTATAATTTTTTTTTTGGTGAAATCCAAATAATGGAATTCTGTACTTAGAATGCAAGGTACAAGCTGGGAAAGGTATTTTAGGCCTATAACTATAAATTGATCTAATTTTCAGACAATTTTTGGGTAATACTAATTTCTGGGTAATAATCTTTATTTAAACAACTTTGCTGTACGACATCACATTAGGACTCCCTTCTCTTTTCTCCACTTACTTCTTGTACTGTAGAATTGAGGGCCATTAATTAGTCTAAGTAGGATAAAACAGTGGTTCTCAAACTTTTTTTTCCATGGACCACTTGAAAATTGCTGAGGGTCTAAGCAGACCACTTAATACATTTTTTTTGGTTCTACAAATCAAAGCACACAACTCATATTTTAATATCAGTCATCTTACCTTAAAAGTACAGATATTCTCGATCGTTCTGCGACACTACTGCAGACCACCTGAATGTAGCTTGCAGACCACTGGTGGTCCGCAGACCACAGTTTGAGAACCTCTGGGATAAAACACAAAGGGAACCTCTGCACGTCTACTCACTAGGGAGTAAGATTTGAGTCTCAAATAGTCAAGGATCGGAGCAGCAAATGGTTTCTTGACCAACCACTTCAACACTGAAATTTAAATTCCTCAAATGGTAAACACCACTTACCCTGTAATCTCTGGATACGCTCTCTGATGGCACCGACCCTGAAATCTGACTAGAAATGGTAGCAGCTATGAGCTGTTTACACCACTCGACATGTGACCCTGTAGGGCTACAAGAAAAGAATAAATATTTCAGTTTGCTAAACAACAAGAACAGCAACTACTACTACTTTACGCTGAAGCATTGAGACGATTTCATTACATCCCACGTTAACACAACTTGCAAACACCACAAACGAGCAGCACTGGCATTACAGGAAAACACAAATTATAGTTCTGATATAGAGCTGTTAATAAATCAGCAAATATGGTTATGGCCCTGCAGAGTTGCAACATTTTCAGTCTCTTTATCCAATACCATTTTAATAATATTCATATATTTGTCTTTAAGGCCTTCAAACAGAATGTATTTTGAGCACAAGATACATAAGTGCTTTCAAGAACTCCACATATCTGTCAAGATTGCTAGTCAAAGCCATGCTCCTCTGGCAGGAGCATATCAAGGAAATAGAAGTATTCTCAGCAATTGTCTCAAAAATTTCCCCAATGGCATCTTTTACTATTGCTGCATCTGTGTTCAGAACAGATGTAAGAGCTGCAATTCTGCTCTAAGGGAGAGGCAGAAACATTTCTCACTGCTGAACTGTGCAGTTAAATGGGTACACAAGGACCCCCCAAGACATTGCCTCAGCCTAGGGAGAGCAGATGTCACTGATCTGAACTGATGCCTTTGGGAGGGGCCATCTAGATTCGGGAAGTCTGCAGAACAGCAAATACTGAGCATGGGAAGGAACGACCTGAACCCGACATCAACCCTAGGTCTGCCTCAGGATTTTCAAGAGTACCAAGTCAGGGGTAACTTGGAGCTCTATCCTATCCCAAACCCAGCGGTATGCATAATCACAGTATATGCTTAGAGAAACTGTAATTATCAAGTGTAATTGTGTTTCTGTATGTTTTGTACTTAGTAAGAAGTCAGATACTGAAATGAAAAATCAATTTAAAAACATCAGACGGCAAACAGACACACGCCAACATTGGGTGGATCCCACAACGTTAAAACGAATGATTCATAAACCACGCAGTGCAGAGCGCAAACATGCTCAACTGGGATTCGAGAGGGTGTCACAGATGACCCGTCGTCACTTCATGAGAGGCTGTCCTCAAGCTCAACGGCCCCGTGACAAGACCAGAAGACAAATTAAGGGCTCTAAGAGTCGCTGCCTGAAGAAGAAGGTAGTTCGTGACGGTCTCGCTGACATTTCCATCCCGGCTTTCACTTGTGCACAAACTCTGCGCAGCACCACGTCCTATTCGCCAGGACTTCCTCTAATCATCACTCGGTACGGACCGAAAGTTGGTTGCAACCTGCCTATCCTCCCACGTTCCCAACCATTTTTAAAGCCGTGCCATTCCCCAATCTCCGATCGTTATGGGCTTCTCTTTTTAAACCTGGTCTTCACCGTAACGTTTTGGCTGCTTTAACTGTCCTGACACCAGGAACGGTCTCGGGGCGGTTAAAGCAGCAAGGCAAACGCTGGCACGCACCGCTCCAGCGACCCCCAAACCCCGACGCGTTGCGCGCCCCCAATTTAAAACAACGTGCCGCCACCAGCAAACGTGTGCGGCTCAGCCTCATGTGACAGAAGTTAGCTGGGGGGTTTTAAAGTCATCACACCACCGCCGTTAACACGAACCACTGGCGGGCGCGAAACGTGATCCTGACCAGGTGGCACGCGCTGGTGCGAGGCGTCTCCCCCTCCCGAAATCTGCCGGCGGCTCGGGACCGTGCCCACGCCCCCCGGCTCGGTGACCCACGCCGCGCGCCGAGGAGGGAGGGCCCATTTATTTTGGGGGCACATCCTGAATCGTGGGGGAGGGGCAGCTTTTTTTTTTTTTTTTTTTTTTTTT